CTTCAACCCTCACATCAAAATGAATCAGTGATTTCCTACAAAGTAAGCCGAAAAATTGATTCTAAAGTTGTTTCTCTCTGTTTATTTATTGCTCATCCATTAATGGTTTTGATTAATTTTGTATGTGAATGATCTATTATTCGTTGATAATGGACTTTGGTTTTTTTTTCTTTTTCTGGGAATGATGAATGATGAATGGTTAATGGTTTTGATTCTTTATTTTATCTGAATTGCATGTGACGGTTATCAAATCATCTCATGTGTTTGATGATGGTTTTGTTTGCAAGTATTGTAGATATCTCTATTGATATAAGAGAATTAAAGAACGAACACTATGTAGTTATTGTACTTGTTTTATGTTTCATATCATGCTTTGTGTTGTAACCATGGCGTGTCCTTATCTTTAGTCTCATATATTTATATTATTGGTTTGTCTTCATCTTCCTAAGAAATTCCATAATTGAAGATATATACTTACACTAGTTCAACATGTAACTATATTGCTAATTGTCAATCTTTGTCTTCCTCTCTTGAACAAGCTTCAATTTCCATTTTGTTTGTCTTTGTTCAATCATATGATTAAACATATGATTTTGTCTTCCTCTCTTGAACAAGCTTCAACATGTAACTATATGGATGGTACTAATCTTGTGTTTTCCTTATTTGCGAATAGATATGGCATCGACTGATTCAACTCCATTGAGTTCCACTCCACAAGGGTCACGGTCTGTAACTAACAGTAATGCAGCAACTGCAGCTACTGTTAATGAAGAAGATATAGAAGCAACTGATGTTAACCCTTTTGCAAGGAAAAAGAGGGCGAAGACATCTGTAGTGTGGAAGGATTTTACAGAAATTAATGTTTCTAGTGGACCGAAGGCTGAATGCATCCATTGCAAAAGCAGGCTTCCCATAACGAGTACTGGGAGCACTACTCACCTCTCAAGGCACTTGAAGACTTGTGTACGGCGAAAGCTCTTTGAAAAGCAACAACAAAGGTTTTTTGAAGCAACAAATCCAGCTGATGCAGGTAATGTTATCCCTGTTCTTACCGGAGGTAAATTTGACATGGCAAAAATGCAGGAATTAGTGGCCACTTGGGTGCTAATGCATGAGCATCCTTTTACTGTTGTGGAGGAAGAAGGATTTAATAACATGCAAAGGTATGCGATCACTGAGTGGGAAAAGATTAGTCGTAGGATGTGTAAAAATGATGCTGTTACTTTGTTTGAAAGGGAGAAGATAAAGCTGAAGAATTTGTTGAAGGATGTTGACAGAATAAGTTTAACGACTGATTTATGGAAGTCAAGTAATCAGAGGATTGAGTACATGGTATTGACAGGGCATTTCGTAGATGGTAATTGGAGGTTGTAGAAATGAATTCTAAACTTCTTGTACATAGCTCCTCCACGCACTGGTTCCCAAATTGCAGATTTAATTTATAAGTGTCTGAAGGAATGGGGTATAGAGAACAAGATGTACACGATATCAGTGGATAATGCATGAAGTAATGACACAACAATCCGGATTTTAAAGGAGAATTTGGCAATTGACAATAGACTGCTTTGTGGAAGGAGATTATTCCACGTTAGGTATTGCGCACACATCTTGAACCTTATTGTTCAAGATAGGCTGTCCCAAATAAGGTCCATTATTGATGATGTTCGTGATACTGTGGCCTATGTGAAACAAACAGAGAGCAGGCTTATTGTTTTTTCAGAGATAGTTCAAATGTTGCTTTTGCCCAACCGGAAGTTGATCCTAGACTGCAAGACGGAATTCCACTTTTGAGATGTTATCAATTGTAGTGAAGTTTAAAAATGTCTTTGAAAGGTATAAAAAGAAAGACCCATATTATAATTGTTGTCCCAGTGTAGAGGAATGGGTAAAGGTGGAGCAAGTTTGTGAAGTGTTGGGTGTGTTTAGTACCATTACTAATGTAATTTCTGGGAGTGAATACCCGACTGTAAATATATATCTCAGTGAGATTTTTCGGGTTAAGGTTATGCTAGATCAGAAGTCGGTGGATGAAAATGATTTTATTCGACATATGGTTACGAAAATGAAACAGAAATTTGACTAATATTGGGGAGAATGCCACTTGTTGATGTGTGTAGCGGCTGTCCTAGATCCTAGGTGTAAAATGGCAGTGTTGGACTATTGTTTACCTAAAATGTATGGTGAGATTGATGCCCAAGTACATAAAAGCAAAGTTAAAGATGTGTTATATCAAATTTACCAAGAGTATGTTGATGATTATCAATCTCAATCCTCAAACATTGAACAACCAACTGCAATGGTTCCTCGGGGCAATGAACAGACAGAACCTAATGTGTCTGGATTTGCAATGTTTGCAGAACATATGAAAACGGTTCAAAGTATTCCACCAGAGAAATCAGAGTTAGATACTTATTTGGGGAGGGGAATTGTATGAAATTTGAAGCATTGGAGTGGTGGAAGGTTAATACAATGAAGTATTGAATCTTGAGTAGGATGGCTCGTGATATCCTAGCAATCCCTATAACCACAGTGGCTTCGGAGGCCTCGTTTAGTGCTGGCAGCAGAGTAATAGAAACGTATCGAGCCTCATTGTCTCCCAAAACAGTACAAGTGCTCCTTTGTGGAGGTGATTGGTGTCGTCATCTCAATGGAGTTCATAGAAAGAACAAAGTGTAAATTGTAATAGGTGATTAGTATTTATGCATTCTCACTTACTAGTTAGTAGTTACTTTCATTTTTGTAACTGAAACTAATATTTTCCCTTGATGTATTTTAGAAGGAGCAAAAATAAGTGGAGATTCAGCTTCCAATCGAGTGAAGCTTACAAAGCTTGAATGCATTTTTTTGGCCAGAATCCTCAGGTATCCATCAACTCTTAATCACTTATGTAGTTATGTTTCATAATAAAACAATTTTTATTCTTCATTTACATGTCATTTACAACTGCCTTTTTGTCTTAATGTTCAGGATTTTTTTGCATATAAAGGTTGGTTTTTGTAAAGATCTACTGGTTGTTTGAGAGGGTAGAGAAGAGATATGTTTCATAATACAAAGGTTGGTTTTTTTTAGTATTGTTGTGAACCTAAGTTGTGATGATGTTATTGTGGTTCTTGTGAAGTGTTTATTAATGTTATGTTATTGTTGAATGTTGAACTTGTGATGTTGTTTGAGAGGATGGACTATGGAGAAAAGATGTGATTGTTGTGAAGTGTTTATTTATGTTATGTTATTGTTGAACTTGTGATGTGTTGTTTGAGAAGATGGACTATGGAGAAAAGATGTGATTCTTGTGAAGTGTTTATTTATGTTATTGTTGAACTTGTGATGTTGTTTGAGAGGATGAACTATGGAGAAAATATGTGATTCCTGTGAAGTGTTTATTTATGTGATGTTATTGTTCAACTTGTGACTCTTGTGCATTGTTTATTTATGTGATGTTATTGTTGAAATTGTGATTCTTGTTAAGTTTTTATTTATATAATGTCCATTGAGTTTTAAACTGGAGATTTTGTTGATTTTACCTTACATGTTTGTCTTGAAATTTAGATATTCTATAATTCTAATTAGAGGTGTTTATTGTTGTTGCATGTTTTTTGAATTTGGAGTTCTAGACTTTGTTGGAAGGTCTTTTGCTCTTTGCTGGGCATAATATGTTTATCCTCATTCCTAACATTTTATAATTCTAATTAGGGTATTTATTGTTGCTGCAACCTACAGGTTTTTTGAATCTGGAATTTTAGACTTGCTGGAAGGTCTTTTGCTCTTTGCTGGGTAGAATATGTTGGCTTGAAATTTTGATATTCTATAATTCTAACTAGGGGTATTTATTGCAGCTACAAGTATTTGAATTAGGGGTGTTTATGGTTGCTGCAGGTTTTTTGAATATGGAGTTCTAGACTTTGCTGTAAGGTCTTTTGCTCTTTGCTAGACAGAATATGTTGGCATGAAATTTAGATATTCTATAATTCTAATCATGTATATTTTGTTGTTGCAGGTTCAAAGGGTAAAAGTCTAGTGAAAGGTAAAATGACTAAGTGACCCGCGACTTGGCTACTCAACTGCTGCAAATTTGGTGTTTCTTTGCCAAATGCCAACAGGTTGTATCATGGCTAGTGGTGGTGGATATTTTGTTTTATGTTAGTTTGGACTTTGGAAGCAGTTGGCTTGGCCATTGTATTATGCATGTGAATGAGATAAATCCAAAGTCCCAAGTCCCAACCTTTAAATGTAATTATGCATTATGTAAAAATGCATTGGCTCCTTATAATAATGTATTATGTAAATATGCACTGGCTCCTTAATCTTGAAAATATTAATTAAGAAGCTTCTCCTCTGGATACTGTATATCATCATTCTCAAGTTGGATTCGGTTGAAAATGTAATTTGGTTGCATGTGTGGTTTCAATTTCAGTTTGTTATACTGTAATAATTTAGAACTGTTATTTCAAGCTTTTAAATCGAGCTCGATTTCGAGCCTGGTAATGAGCACATACTCGAGCTCCATTAATGAGCTTGGCTATAATCGAATTGAGTTCAACACATTCTCGAGCCAATCAAACTGTTCGCGAGCACAAACTAATTGACGATCTAGATCTCGAACTCAGATTTTCCCTACTCGTCGAGCTCGAGCCCATTTCACAGATTGCAAGCCGAGCTCGAGCCGATCACTGTTCGGCTCGGCTCGGTTCGTGTACACCCTATGGCTCCCTTGCCCATCTATTTATCTCAAGGAGGTGTTATATACATCCATCAGCCAGTACTGCAAGTTTGATGATCTTAATTCTACTCTCTTTAGTCTTCACTCAACTCTTTTCTTTTGGCTTCTTCATGGGTCACTAGAGAGTTGGGCAGAAAATATGTCCATACTCTTTGGAGGTTTCATCTTTTTTCTCATCAATGCTTTGGCATATACTGATGGGAAAATTCGATTGACACAAAAACAAAAATTGTTGGATACCAACAGCAGACGGACGATCAGGAACAAGGTAATCCAAAGACCAGGAACAGAAATCAAAATCCCATTGAGATATTCATCTTTCATAATCCTGGAAACAAAATTGTCACGCCTGCTAAAAATTCATTGTTGGATTCTAACAGCAGACGGACGATCAGGAAAAAAAAAAGGGAAGGAGAAAGGAACTCAATAACCAAGATTGCATCACTAAATCTGCCCGGAGAGGCGCAGCATTCGCACTCTTCACTGAGTCAGGTTAAAAGAACAAAAATACAAAATGTTGGGACATCGATGAGGGTAGATATCATTATTCCAGATGAATGAAATGAGACTAAAAAAGCAAAGAAAATGTCTCTATCTTATTCTTCTGATATCGGCAGGTAAGACAGGTTGCAACATGGACAAAATTTTAAGAGGCCTGTATCATCCATTAACGATCTATGTCAACAAGTGTTCTCTACCGTATTCTCGCACAATGACAGGCACGCTTGTTGGTGGAACCTGAAACAACGCAGAAGCACATAAACTTGGCACTCATGATCAACCAAATTAAGAATGTAAACAAAGAACAACCCAGGAGAAATTTTTAAGCATTTAATGTTTCTACTTTCGTTAGGCCACGGACATTGCAGCAACCAGCTTTGCTAGCACGTCGTCAGGTTCCAGGCTCAGCAAAAACCCACAAGTAAATGCATTTGAAAATTCTTTAGAAGGTGAAAATCGCATAAAATTTTAACTGTTGACTTATGTTGCTTCTAAAGAATTTTCAAATGCATTTACTAACACAATGAACTTTTCATATATCAACCAGGCAGTGTGACTGACATGCACTTCTCACAATATCGCATAAAATTTTAACTTTAAAACCAGACTATGACTTACCATGCCATAATCTGTGATTATCATCGAAACATAATCTGACGGAGTCGCATCGTAACTGTAAATGAAATTCAAAACAAGACTGATAAGTGGGGAGAAGCAATAATCAGGTAGTGAACGCTGAATACTAAAATTAAAGTATACTTACGTCAAATTTAAAAGCTGCAGATTTTCCTTATTGGCCCAGCCATCCAAGTAGGCGATATCCTCTCTCGCAGGAACTTTAGAAATGGCATCTGGATCACCTGCAAGAAATGGAACAGCCATCTGAACATTTAAGCAACCATAGTGCATAATTTCAAAAAGAAAAAAAGTGCAAGTGCTCCAATGTTTGTAATTCTAGAGATGCATACCAAGCTCATTGGAGCATATTGAATCAAGCTGCACTCTTTCATGAAATTTGTATGCTTCACAGCATACTAACACTGGTACACGAAATGCATGGGCGACCATAGCAACAGATGCAGTCCCAACTCTTGATAAAACCGTCCCATTAGACAAAACTGATGAAGCACCCAGAAAAACTCGAGTAGCTTCTTGCATGATATATGAAAGAGCATTTATATGAGTGTATGTACAGCTAAGTCCCTTTTCTACCAACCTACGGAGTAATAGTTTCCCTTCCAGCTTTGGACGAGAGTCTACTATCACAACCCGGAACTGTTTGCCAAGCTCGTGGGCATGCAGTAGTATCATTTCAACAGCAGAAGATGACCCATATGTAAGAAGAACATCACCATCTCTGATCTTTATAACAGCATGTCTGACTATCACTTTATCTGCAACTATAATCTTCTCATTTATAAAACGATCAATATCTGACTTAAGAGTTGCCTTTGCTTCTGACTCAGACAGAATTATAGGTAACTTGGCAATTCTACTTTTTAGAAACCTTATTGCATTCCCCATGCTGATCGAAATGGGCCGGCACTCATTAAGAAAAGAAACATAACTACTTATTTTTGCAGTTAAGTCTCTACAAAGTGTTTTTTCAGGTGGTGTTGAGTGATCTTTAATGGCCTCTTTGAAGGCTTCAAGCATCGCAATACACCGAGCATTGCTGCCACAGATGTCCCCAGATAAATATTGTAATCCAACCTGACAACAACACAAGGCCATAATCAAACAAATGTGTTCTCATGTAACCAACTTGACAAAACATCTCAAACAACCCAATATGCATTCCTTAATGTCAATACCTTGTAAACAGTTGGGTGTACTGTGTCAAGTTGGAAAAATTTGGATTCAAGATCAGGAAGCTGGGTTCCATGTTCATACTGAGGCAAATGCCTGAACAATTCAACTCTGTTCCTAGCTTCTGTTAATTTCACCACAGAACGTCTTTTGGCCTTCTCCACTCGGCTTTTATCATCATACTGCATGCGCGGATGAGGAACGTCTTTTTTCCTTTCTTTTTCCACAGGGCGATCGCCGCCTTTCTTCTCTGAGGGCAAAGCAGCCCCAGCACTGTCATTCTTTTGTGGAGCAGGCTTTGTGGCTTTAGCTGGTTTTGCATTTGCCGGTCCCCCCATACCGGATGTCTTACCTCCTTCCGCTGATCAAACATGATTAGCATTATTATAAAACAATGTAGCATAAGAAGGTATCACTCTATTTATCCTGCAACACTTCTTCTTCCGAATAGTCAGATTCTTGGGGATCTATCTGATGATTTCCAACCCAACCCGGAGAGGCTTCAAAATTCATTGATAAATCAATTCAACCTCCTTGTTTGTCAAATACAATATTATACACAAACTCTTCAAGCACATATACATAAATAATGTGTTAAAGAGATAACGTCAATGCTGTGAGATTATCAAATCCTCATATTCGTAATTAACAAATTTACTGCCATGACGACTCTTTCAAAATGAGTAACAAAGGGTTCAAAGCCCACAAAAACTACAACACACAATGGGCAACATCGCAATTCATCTTACTTTGAACAATTTCTACAAACAATTCTTAATTTACATAACGAGCAGTAATCAAACAGATAAATTTATTACTAATTATACAGTTATACATTACTTGAAAAAGATTTTACCTTTAGCAGCAGCCTTTGCAGCACGTTGAGCCTCTTGAAGGGCCCTTCTCTCAGCTTTCGAGGTTTTCTCTTTCAATGGCTTTGAACTAGCTCGCTCATTTTGTACTTCAACTGATACTGCTCCACCACTTGTTTCTACAATCAAAATATATGTAAATAATTACGTAATAAGCAATTTTGGGATTTTTTTTAATAAGATTAAGAATTTCACTCACCGGAAATTCCCGGTGGCAAATTGACAACCGACACGGTGGTTAAACCACTGGCCGGCACACTACTGGCTACTTTATAAGCTCCCGCCATCTCCAAGCCTCCGCCGGGAAGCGACGAAGCGCCGTGTAGTTTTCCAGAGCCGCCTCTGCCACTCACCCTCGCAGTCGGAGACGCCGCCACGTCATCTGAGAAATCGACCTGGGACGGCGCGATGGTGGGAGAAGGCGGAGGGAAGAAATCAGAGTCTTCCGACAAGGAAGAGGGAGGTCGGCGGGTGATGAGAGTATCCGAGGGATGACGCGGCGGCGGGATCATGACGGGGGACAGTGAGTTGCCGGAGGGAGAGATGTTGGAGATAGTTTGAGGAGGAGAAGACGAAGAGGAGCGGATCAGGTCGGGAGGAGGAGGAGCAGTAAAGAAACCGACTTGACGGACTTTTGGATCGATTACGGCGCGTGAGCCTCGCCGTGAATCCATTGGGAGGGAGTGTTTGGTTAGCGAGAAAAATTATTCAAGCGATTATTCAAGCGGACATGAAAATAAGATATACACGTGATGTGGAGAGATTTAGCTGCGATATATTTTTTAAGAAATAAAAAAAAAAAAAAAAAAAAAAAGAGAAATTCCTTTTTGTACTTTTGGATTTATTGCATTTAATTATTCTAAACCAACTTTTATGTGTTTTATTATTATTGGATGGTGCCAATTCTTTTGATTATAATCAAATAATTAATATAATATTAACCTCAAAAAGTGACCAGGATTGAGTTTTATTATAACAAAAATCTCATTGGTTGTGATAAATTAATTCTTGAATATTATGAAATATGGAAAGGCAAAGATGGAATAAATTCCAAATAGCAAGAGTACTGGTAGGTAGAATAGAAGGATCAGATGCAGTAGTACATGACATAAAAACAGGCCTCTAATGACAGACATATTCAAGTATCAAATCCTTTTGGTTTTTTGAGATTGAAGTAACGACTCCAAGTACAGGCACATTCTGAGATTCTTCAAGAACGAATGGCAGCTGCTTAAATCATACGAAGCTTGGGGCAACCGGTCCCTTGGAAAGTCCGAAGCGCACTTCCATCCCGTGATGCATGTCCAGTGGCCGGAAAGTTTCTGATTCACGAGGGTCTGCAAACGAGTTTTACATAAGCACATACCAAAATGTGGAACTATAATTTAATTAGCTACGGTATCATTCATTTGTCAATTCAACCACCATGAAAGAACCCAAATCAAGTTGAAAATTTTAACCACTAGCAAATATTATAACTTGTTTCTCAGCCACACCAAACTCCATAAACTTCATAGTCAAGCTAAGCACAAAGTTTGATTAGAAGTTAGAAGGATCAAACAGCAATAACAAGGTTATGGCAATAAAATTTCATAAATCTAAAAGCAGAAGGTTTTCATGATAACATAAATATCAAAGCCAAAGACAAAGACAAATACAAAACTCTTATCTATCAAATCCTCTACTATTTATTTAGTAGCTGAGAAATCTCAAAACTCATAGAAGAACGTTTGATTCATGGAATTCTGTCATTTGACTTGTTTGATTTACTATTCAAAGTATGGATGCCTTCTTCCACTGCACACTTTTAATTTTTCTTATTCTCTTTCTTCAAACAACTCAGGTCTCAAGTTAATATTCACAGTACTACCTCATAAGAACCATTTATGAAGACTATTTAACTCATTATCCGCCGGAATGATTCATTAACAAGTTTCACCATCAAAATCAAATCCATACCCTAAGTCACTTCTTCTACATACTAAATTCTCAAATTCCTAATTTGTTATGCCATCCCTATATCAAGCAACTATATCATCCAATGATAGGTACAGCAGCCTGAAAATATCTAATTTGGCACTGATATGAGGACACTGAAAAAAGGAAAGCTAGTTTGGATACAAGTGCAAAACAAGTTCAAATTTCTCTGACATGTAGCAAGGATAATGAAGGTCTTGTAACAGGTAAAACAGAAGTTTTGAATACTAAAATTCAAATTTGATCTAAAATAGAAGATGAAGAGCAAAAGGAACAAGCCAATGAGGATTTTAATTGTTATGAAGACGTGATGGAAATAATGATCCTTTTGAGAAAAAAATTCAATAGTAAGAAAGATAAATAAAAGGCAGCAGGCTTTGTTTAAAAAAAAAAAAAAAGGAAATTGAATAATTCACAGAAATTCAAGCACCAAAAAAACCAGAAAAGAAACAATCATCTCAAGTTCTTCTCATGGAACTAGTTGGATAAAGAGGTGAGAGTGACATCTCAATCTCTAATATGGTGATTCATAAGGCGGTTGAGTTGATAGGCAAAAGGCCAATAAATGCAATTACAATTCAAGTCAACAAATTTAATGATGGGTCTCCTACAACAACTGTTCAATTTGATTTATTATTCCAATGGAATTCACTAACATAGACTCTAGACAGACATCCAATAAAACTGGAACAACACAGGGAATATTAGTATAGCCTGTGCACAGATCGAGAAATAGTCCATTTGGACAAGGGAAGAGGGGGAGGTCAGGAAATAGTCCATTTATTGATATAACTCAAATCTTTGATATCCTACTGCAAGCCCAACTACACAGACAAGAAGCAAGAAAAAACATAATCAAAACCCAGGATTTCTTGTTATTAAGGATATAACTCAAATCTTCGATATCCTACTCGATCTGCAGTTTTGTAGTACTGCATGCCCAACTACTACAAAACTGCAGATCGAGTTTTTCCCAACTATGAAGGTAGAAGACAATCCAACAGTTTGAAAAACAAATTTGGCTCATGGCAAGGTTTATTCTTATTAAGGATATTATGATCGAATTTGGCTGAGGAATGCAGGTCACAAAAACTTTGGTGACTTAAAGTAAGAAATTCTTTTATAAAGCCTTCAGTTCAAATCGCTCAATTTCATGATAACCATGAGCATTCTTAATATGCAACAAATGGTATAGTAAGAGTGTTTTCAGAAAATATAAGGGACTACCAAACTCAAAAAGTCAACCAGTAAACAGTTACCATTCAAATAGTCCTCAAAGCCAAAATCATCCAAGCTTCCTGTCAAAGCCTCCAAACCTAGCATTGAAGATGGGACCGCCCCTGGAGGCCTCTGAAATCTGCACATTTTCAAATAAGTATATATTACAGGACTGCCACAGCATATTCATAAATCATACAAAAATTATTAACTTATATTATATAAAATCACTATTACATGCAAAAATGTAAAACTCATAATTCATAACACAATTTGCTACCCACTAGTGCAATATTTTTTCTAAAGAAAAACCTGCAAAAGATTATATATATTGTTTAGAACAATCACAACATTACAGAACCAACATGCAACACATCTATCCTCACCACTTCCATTTTCTTTTCAAAGACAAAACTTTATAATTCTATATAAACGTTCAGATCTTTTCAACAAAAAACCTTACATTCTGCCCACATCATACACACATTGCTACAGGAGCGAAGGTTTCAAAGAAAAAGCGTTGCTTTCTTTGGCGCACAACCCACTAATCTTTTCTGTCAAGAAAAACTTAACACCTACATACTTAATCCCTAGTTCCTTGCACTTCACATTACTAAAGCACCACCAAAAAGAACTAAAAAAAGGACCCATACATCAAACATTATAGCATAAATCAGGTGATGATCCACTACATGATCCAACCAAACAGGCAGCTAATTCTCTCCAAACATCTATGCTGTAAATCATTCTCATCCAAGCAAACAGTATGTCATAAGGAATTACGGACACACTTAGAAGTGGGAGTTACTAGTTGCAGGACAACTGCTTATTATACAAGTATTTGTACTTTACTTAATGGCAACTCCAGGTTCCGGTTGTAATCATAATAACCATATCACTAATACTTATTCAAGGAAACATTGCAGAGTAAAAAACTATGACGAGAAGCATAATAAATATGTTTATCAATCAGAGATTTGAACAAATCATACTGATATATTCGAACAACAAAGGAAATAACCATCAATCAATAAGTTCAATCACTTGAAACTCCTACCGAGAAAGAATTTGCCTATCAAGATCCATCTTCAATGGGAAAGCCGTCCCATATGTATTAGCAAGCATTTTTCTCTTCATGTCCTCTTGCGTCTTCCTTGCCTAAAAACCACAATAAATAAATAATAATCAATTCAATTAGACATAAACCCTAAAAATCTTCTTTCAAATTTCAGGTAATAAATGATTTCATTGCATACAAAATAATCATATACACACAGTCTTTAGTTCCAATTCAAAATAAAGAAAAAAATTATTGAATAAAAAAAAAATGCACCAAAACCAACACTTAAAGTAATTAAATTAATGTCTTGGAGGACAGGTAACGAACAATAGAATATTCTCTAACCTTATCTCACACTTTCTCAGGAATCAAACAGAAAATCAAAATCAGAGAATAGACAGATAGAGAGAACAGAGAAGGAAATTACAGATTGATAGGAGATTTCGAGAGGGTGAGATCCAACGACATCACTTTTGACGCCATGGAGACCGAATCGAAGCGCGTCGTTTTGGATTCCTCCGATTTCGTGCGGAATGTTCTTTTGTGCCTCCATTTCGCTCTCTTCTGTTCACTCCTAGGTGTTCTCTGTGACTGATTGTTGAGAGTAGTTTAGCACAAACTTTGTGAACAAGTTATGAAGGCAAGCTGCTGAGAGACTGGTATATATAAATCGACAGTAGAAGTCCTTTATTAAATACGACATCGTCTAGTGAGCCTTGTGTGTCTAACAATTAACCGGTAAACGGCGTCGTAAAACTCTAGAGAAACTGACTTATAATAAAACTGACCGAATAACTAATTAATTAATAACAGACTCTCTAATTATTATTAAACGGAAATGTTATAATCCTTTTTTACAAATTTAAGAATCATGATCCTAACGTGATAGCTCGTAATTGATTAGCTTACAATAAGTTTCATCTGATCTCATTTAATAAATTACAACTGATTAATTACGAACTGTTACGTTGAAGTTATAAGAAAAAAAATGTAAGAAAAGGTTATGGACATAACATTACTCTTATTAAAAACCATGTTTTAAATCAATAGGTTGTCTCACATCAAACTTAGATTTTTTTTCAATCGGATTTGAATTTGAGACCTTCCACTCTTATCCGTTATTATCTTACTTAAAAGCTTAAATTAGTAAGTGAGAATTCAACATATATTATTAAAAATTAATAATAAAATTATAAAGATTTTTTTAGAATAATCATATATTATAATAAGAACTAGAAAACTAACAATTTCATCTCTAAGGTTTGGTTTAAGTAATGTTTCACTCTTATAGAATTTTTTTTTTTTTAATAACATTTTGGTCTCCATTATTAACAAAACTTGGGATCAAAATGTCACTGACAAGGACCAACGTTACAATTATTAAAGAAATTCTATAAGACTAAAATTTACATAGTGTTTGGGCAAAAAATGGTATTGGACTTCATCAAGCTCAATAATGAAATGCACACTAAATACGGTCTAGTGTCTTAACCCAATCCTGATTAGGTCTACACTTAAATCCATATTACGGATTGACTATCCAATGCGATGGTCTATTTTGTAAGAAAGAACATTCTATGGGTCGACCCATTCTCCGAGTTAGACCACATCACAAGTCAATCCTCTCCACGAGCTTGGCTACTATACAAGCTGGGTCTCTCTACGATCAGGGTCACCATACGAACTTAGTCAACTTATGCTTTGGGTCACTCCATGAGTTGGGTCTTCCTATAAATTAAGCTAAATTGAGCTCCAACCCATTATCCCACATTCGTCACAAAATAGGAATCACAATTCTATCAACTTCTTAATTCATTTAAGATGCAAAACTTACATGAATTAGTACTCTTAAACCGATAAAGGCAAGAAACAATAGTTCCTTCCTATTTCGAACTCCATACTAAGTAGGACTCCGAGTTATACTATGATCAAGCCCCCTTGGCTCACTATATAAATAGGGGTCAAACCTCTCATTAGGGATGAACATACAACTCATAATTTTAGCTCTCAAAGTTCTTGCTCTTAAGAACCATTGTCTCTCTCGTCGTAAAGCTTAATTTCTAACATCTACAAAGCTTCGCCAACTTTGTTATAGTCCTACCCTAGCCACACCATTACGATAAACCCTTTCTCGCTCTCAACCCTCACTAAAATACTTTCAACCATGCTAACTTGAGCGTCGCGTCACCACACTTGTATCTCCCGAGCCTTCACGTTTGTTATTTCTCTTTGTGCAAGTCTAATCAATTGTCAGTGGCTCGCTTGTCATAAGATCCGTCCCTTCCAAATCAACCGTACATTTTATCATCTACACATAGCCAAATTTCATATTTTCGATAGTAATATGACCACAACATTCATCACATTTTTAAAAATGATGACATGGTTTGTATCAATGACAATACTCGTGAAAGGGTGTTTTAACATATATACTTTGATGTTAAAAAAGAACACAATGTTTATAGGGGATTTATTAAATGAGACTTTAAATGATAAAATATAATTTTATTATTATTTCAGTATAATGTATTTATAATTAAGAGAACGAATACACATTTCAGTGTATCAATACCATCATTTAAATTCAGAACTGTTCATGATATTAACATATTACCCTAGAAACAATAATGAAGACACAAAGTTTATATTAATTTTTTAGAAAAACTAAGGAGGTATAATATGAATGAAAGAATTAAAATAAAAAATCTTATGATCAATTGAGTTCAATTTCAATACATGTGTTGTGAAGAACAGGTGAAATTCTCTGACTGAGTTAAGCTTATATAGCAACATGATAAAGATGTTGGAGTTGTCGACCATTTTAATAATAAGAGGTGAGGCAGACGCATACAGGGGTCCCATTGTAGGATTTTAATACAATTCATACCGTAGGATTTCTCTAAGTAATAAAACTCCTAATACTAATAGGGTTTGGGGTTAGAAATAGAGATATTAGTATTATTAGGTTTTATTAAACCTAGTATATAAATATATTATTCTCTTCTACGAGTGGTAGAACAAATCATAGACAAATACATACATTATAACGGGAGGTGAAAAAATATTTTAAAAATATTGACTTTAGTGGATGTAACCTAGATTTTGGATTAATTAGAATAAATTATGCGTATATTTTTTCTTTACTGTTTACATTATTTGTATGTAATTGTTTACTCGTTTGATTTCGAATAATTGTTCCATATGAAAAAAAGGCATTTAGAGCTACAGTTGATTTATTGGGGGGTTTTAACTTTATGTTCTTGAGCAAATGAATCTTCTTTTTTCATTTCACCTACTAAACGTACGATGTTACTGTTAGTGTTTTTGGAGGCTTCGTGTATTGGGATCCGCACTACTTCTGTTTAGCTTCTGCATGAGCTACACCTCTGCAAAGACTTGGTTCAGTTCCCGGCTTCCGACTCCCCCATTCCTTGCTTCTTTGTTTCCCTTTACTAGGCATTTTTCTGATGGATTCTATTGTACTCCCAACTTCTATTAGTTTTTTACTTAATTCCATGAATCATTCTTCATTATTTGGTCAAATTCAAATGTAAAGCTCATATATATAATCACATTTCCTTCTTGCTTTACAAAATACAAACTCAATTTTCTTCTTCGTTCATAACTGAAGCGCTGCATTAGCTAGCTATATATACAGCTAGCCTAGATAAGACTTCTGTCACAATAAGTGGGTCAAACTTTTCTCCATTAAAATTTCAAACAACTTCCATGTCTTATTCAACTGGTAGCATACTAGGTGATTAAAGAAGACATTATAGATTATGCAAGCCCCTTAAGAAAATCAAAATTAACCTATTGAGAAAGCAAATCGCCCGCATTTATATCTGCAGTCAATTAATTTGAGCAGAGACTCTAGCTAGCTATGGCAGAACTATCTGTAGAAGTAAACTCTCATTACTTGAACCACGCAAAAAGCAGAAGGAAATAGTTTCTCTTCTACCTTCGTGAGGTACCAGGAATGAGAAAGAAAGATTTGATTCATTTATCATATTGTTTCTGGGTGAAAGCTTATTTTCTTGAAGAAGATTTTGATGGAATATTATATTAGATTCACCGTACGTTTTCTGCAAAAGCAACTTACCTGTCCTTTTATATTAGATAATGAAAATTCAAAAAGGATTTTTTGACTGCACTGCCAGATTATATACAGTGATTTGTGTGCATAACGCCATAACTATTACTGTAAATTCACGCTTTGACAGACTCTACAGCTACTCTATTGACTAATCCTGCAACTACTACTTCTACTTCAACGAGAAGAAGCCTGAATAAAAAGAAAAAACATGCTTATAATCATCACCACTATCAGTTTTGTAGCAAACTCTTCACTTCAATTTAGTATCTGCTATGCATGGCCAATCAGTATCCTTCCTAGCTATCTCAAAAATGGCTTATTTTGCCTCCGCAGTTACGCGTATGGCCTCCATGAAAGCTTGGTTGCTACTGTTGTTGTAAAGAGGGAGTTTAAACATCAAATGTTCTTCATCAATACCATCCATCATTTAACTGGTAATATCCCTTTCTTCTGTAAACTAAAGGATTTTTGTTTTTATTTTCATATATAATCTCTATCTGGGTTTATTGCCTTGAATCCCGTGTGTTCATACTTGTTTATCTTTGGTTTGTAGGAAAAAAAAAAAAAAAATGGTATGCATTTTCTGGTTCCCCTTTGCTCTCTGTTGGCATTCTATACAATATGTGAAGCTTATGGTCTTTCTCAGGTATTTTACCATCTTATAACATTCAAGAAAGCCATAAATTATTATTATTATTATCATTATTGATGATAGTATGCTGTAGCAATTACATAACATCTTTAACATATGAAATACGAGATATTTTAATTTAATTTAATACTTTATATTAAATTTTAAAGCATTAATTGTGTTTAAATTCAAGTTTCAACTTTCAATAGGCATTATTTCCTATCCTTTAAAATGGACATCTCAGGGCCCATAATGTTTCGGTAGCTAGTACAGTCCAGTGAGCCTAAGAATGAACCTGCTAAGGAACATTAGCCCATGGGCCTCTTTGGGCCCATACTTTGTATTCACAGAAAAATTATAGGGTGTGAACAGAAAGTAACCACTTTTGAAATTCTTCTCCCTAGTAATTAATCACCATAGAACTTAAAAAGACTAGTGTACCCTCATTAATATATTTGTTATATCCATTTTCATATTACTGCATTCATTTCTCTCCCATGATGTAGGACAAGTTTGAGTTATTTAAATTTTTTTTTTTTTTTTTGAATCATGATTATTTTCCTATTTTAATTAGGTTTCATAATTTGGAAAAACTTTTTTGGTAGGTTATTTGAAAAAAATGTCATTCTAAAAAACTATATGAATATAATAGGATATGATTAAATCAAATAGGATAAGATTCTGAGAATGTGTTTGGTATAATATCTGAAAATTATATTAAAGTTAGATAAAAATTAAAATTGTTTGTTTGGTACATTTTTTGAAAACATTTTCAAAATATTTAGATTTTTTTTAACCTCTTATATTTTTTAAGTGAGCAAAACACCCCATACAATAAAAATTTATAAATTAACAAAAACACCCCCACCCCCCAAAAACTACCGATAGCCGACAGTTATCGAAATGGCGCATGACCGATTGA